TTTTTTTTATATTATTTGTCCAAATATTTTTTTAACTATTGTTCTTATTGTTTCGCAATGTTTTTTTTTGTTTTTAGTTCGTTTCCAATATTTTTTTTTGTTTTTTTTGTTTTTTTGTTTCTGGTTAATCCTTTGGAAGACACATTTTCTGACCATTCATTCGCGCACTAGGTTTTTTTTATTTTTTATTTTTTTGTTGTTGATCCTTGCGCGATATTATTTTTCCATTTTTTTTCTTTTTTGAGAAATATATTTTTGTCGTTTCTTTTTTTCTATTGTCGTTTAGATTAAATTTAAAATTTGTTAAATTGAAAAATGACGCGGGAGAAAGAGAAGATTTTGTTTTACTGGCCCGTTACCGTGCATAAAAAAAAAGGGTGGATGATTTTGACGACAAGTGACTATTATATTAGTCATCGATTTTTTTTTTTCGGTATTTCTTTTGGTTTTTTATTATTTTCTTTCCTTGTTGTTTGTTTTTTCTGTTTTTCTTTTTTCTTATTTTTCTTTTCTCTTTTTTTTTTCTTTTTTTTATTTATTTTGTGTGTAACTTTTCCCTTTTTTTTTTTTGTTTTTTTTCTTTTACTTTCAAGTTCCACGATAACATGTGGATGACGGAACGGAGTACAAAAGACGATAAGAATAAGAAAAAGATACATTTAAACACGCCGAGAATATGCTAACAACCGCGAGTAATAATAATAATAATAATAATAATAATAATAATAATAATAATATGCGATTTTATTATAATTTTTTTTTCTATTTTTTTTTTTTTTTATTAATGTACCAAAGACGAATAATACGATAACGAAGAATGTATGTTCCTTCATTATAATTTAACCTTTGCTTATCACACTTGGTCCTACTTTGGTAATTTTTTAAACATATTTAAATTTAATTTAAAGCTATAAAACCTACATAGTCTTTTGAAGTAAGTATTAAAGAAGTCTCAAAAAAATGTTGAAGTAAATCTATGCAATAGTTTTTTTTTTATAACAATTTTTCTCACCCGGGTCCAAGGGACTCGGGTATGGTAAGCGTGTTGTTGCTCCAGAAAGGGTGGTAAGCAAAGGTTAAACAATAACAATAATCATTATTATTATTATTATTATTATTATACCGTAGAATTTGATGTTCGTCTTGGGTACACTTTTGCATGAATAAAAGTTTTCAAAATATTAACAAACAAAAATTATTTACAACGAATTCAAACTTCTCGCGTATGTTTATTTAAGCTTGCTATGTTTTTTTTTTTAATTTTATTTTATATAAAACAAGAAAATAAGAATAAATTAAATTTTGTTATTTCTCTCCCTCGTTGTGTTGAAATAACGGAATGTAACGAATGAAACGAATGAAAGAAAGAAGAATAAGAATATATATAAAAAAAAACAAAATAGAACTAAGAATAAACGAGACAAAAAAAGGGATGAAAGATGAAGGTAGGTTTGAACGTACCTGCATGGTTTGCACCATTGGCTCTGTTGGTCTAATCCATACCTTGCACGGCATTTTTTCATATTGTTACCTATAAAATAACATGAAAGAAAACAAAAAGACATTAGTACGAGACATTTTTTTCTTGATTAAAGAAAAAAAATATATATATATATATTGGATTGTTTGGAAAGTATAATTTCGTTTTATTTGTGTAAAAATGAAGACAATTTATTTGCTTCGAGATTAAACCTAAACCTTTTAAGTGAGCATTAACAGTTGAATTTAACAAATTTACTTTCTCATTGATCTCACGTGTTGTTATTTGCCAGTTTGCATCAACTAATGCCAAAATTGTGTCAGAGTTGCGTCAGGGTTGCATTGCCTTGTGCAATGTGCCCTTATTGTGTCAGGAAAAAACGAAATTACTTTCCAAACAATCCAATAGATTGAATTTTTAATAAGACGTGTTTTTTTTTTCTCTATCTTTAATTATTTTTTAATAATTTTTCTTTTTTTTTTTTTTTTCATTCGCGTACATCTTGGTTTTAATCGTTCTGAATGCCTACCAGACGCGCGCGAGCTGCACTTTTTTTTTTACATCTTTTTAATTTTTTATTTTTTTTTTACAATTAATTTTTTCTCAATTGCAATATTCAATCTTACACAAAAAGTTCAACTTACTTCAGTTGTGTGGATATTAAGAAAACCAAAAAAAAAAAAAAAATAAAAATCAGTATCATTCAAAACAATTAAATAAAAAAAAAAAGAGAAAGAACACAAAAATTCATTGAATTCATGCGCTTTACAAAACCATCAAAGGAATTTTTATGGGAACGTTGAATCTTTCTGAATATTTTTCAAATCAAATCACAAACACATAAGTATGATAAATTATTAATTAATGAAAAAATTAATTTGTTAAAAATAATAATTCGATAAGCCAAGCTCTGCAGCAGCTTTTGAGGCAAGGACCCGGGACAAATATCGATCCAAAAATGTTTAAAATAAAAAAATAGTAAAAATTCTTATACAAGCGAATAAAGTAAAACAACATGCAGAGCGCAGAACACAACTAAGAGAAACGTTAACAACGCAAGAAAAAAAAAAAAATAAAAAAAATACACGATCAAATTAGAAATAATCTTCTACGATTACAACAAAATGTCCCTGGACAGTCATTTTTTCATATTTCTTTTTTTTTTTTTTTATCCCAATTTTCTTTCCTTCTCTTTCTTTTTTTTTAATAATTGAATAAATATCACACATTCGATAAATACGATCATTTCAAATGCAAATTTGATGCAACTATTAGGTCGAGTCATATGTAACTTCCATTTTTTATGAGACAAATAATGGTCTTTCTATCACTAATAAGTGCAGGACACTTTTCATGGTGTTTTTTGTTTGCACTATTTGCAATTTTTCAACGTATCTATTGGATTTTGTTCCAATATTACCTTTAAAAGGTTCATCAAAGTTGGAAATACGTCCCTGCACTCGGTTCATCTTTCAACCCTTAAAGTGCACACTTGGTAAAAGTTAGTTAAAGTGCAACTGTGGGTGTTTGACACCCCCAACGTGTTTGAAGAACGCGTCTCCTGAAGTCGCCATTTAATATTTAGACCTCGCAATTTTTTGTTCAAAGTAGTTTGATACATCTTATTTTAAAATAGAATAGGTTTTATACCCATCTGAATGAACACTAGATGGCACTAGACAAATAACCCATTGTTTTTTCGAATTCACTACCGTTTTCGAGAGATCAAAAATTTGTTGGGGGTGTCAAACACCACATGTGCACTTTAAAGGGTTAAGATCGTATCTCTAGAACAGAATTTGACAAACCAATTTCTGACTGTCCTATCAGTTATCAAGTCCTGTACTGTATATGCTGTATATTTTTTCAGTTGCCACTTTAGTGCTATTGCCTTGTTTCAATTTTTAAAACATTACATGGTTGAATGTGCACTTTTTACTATCAATTTCAGTGATTAAGAAAAAACGTTTAAATGTAACATTGGACTAAATCAAAAATTTGACAGAAGACTAATTGAATTCTCATCTATACAGTGATATCAAAAATCTGTTTGTTACGGTGACTTATAATAGGTAAATACGAAAAATAGATTTTGCATAGCTGCATCGGAAGTTACTTATGACTCGACCTAATATATAAAAATCCTCTCACGAAAATATTAAATATAATATATATATATATATATATATATATGCAAGCTCGCGCGCAGGGGCGTCATGGAACGAAAAAAACCTTCGTAGATTTCTTTTTTTTTTTTTTTTTTAAGATGACATACCATACAATTTCAGATCTAAGTTTCAAAAAAAATCGTCCACAGAGACAAAGAAAGACTTTTATGTAGGGTCGAGAGATACTTGAGTGAGATTTTGATTAAAGGTGATAATCGAAAAAAAAAACAAAAAGAAAAAAAAATAAATTAAAACAAATAAGAGTTTGACAAGATAGAAAACTAATCATAATCATAATCATAATAATAATTATAATAATAATAATACTAATACTAATAATAATAATAATAATAATAATAATAATAATAATAATAATAATAATAATAATAATAATAATAATAATCAAAGAATTTTAAGCAACGTTGAAACGATCAAAGGGGGGAAAATAAAAAACGTGTAATGTTTGCAAGTCGTAAGTTATTAAAAAGAAAGATAGAGAAAAAGTTATAGTGAGCGAGTGAGAGAAAGAGAGATAGAGATAGAGATAGAAAGAAAAAGAGAGAAAGACAGAGAGAGAGAGAGAGAGAGAGAGAGAGAGAGAGAGAGAGAGAAACAATATTAGAGAGAAATGAAAAAGAGATAGAGAAACGTTTGAAAAGAGAAAAACAACAAAAAGAAGAAATATTTGGAAGAGTTATTAGATAGAGACACATAGAAAAGTGTGAATTAGAAAGAAAAACAATAAGATAGAAAAAGAGAGAGTGAAAGAGAGAGAGAGAGAGAGTGAAAGAGAGAAAGAGAGAGAGAGAGAGAGAGAGAGAGAGAGACCGAGAGGAAATTAAACGCTGAGGATTGTCTGATTGCGGAGTAGGTCCCTGTAAAAATGCAAGATGGCCAGCGTCCCCAAAGTTGTATACGTAATCAATAATTAATGCGTGTGTGGTGTACATATGCGTATATGTATCTATACATACATACATAAATATATATATATATATATATATAAACATATATCAATATATTATGTGTTTCGACGACTAATGCATTGTACTTAATGTATTATTTATCTTTTTTCATTTTGATAGATATATGTATGTATATATGTGGCCACGTGTGTGGCGCATGCGTACGTGCACGCCCGCGCACGTGAGTAGAACATCATACGTATATATATATATATGTAATATAATTTATATAATTTATATATTTATGTATGTCAAAAGAATGTGAGTGTATATATGCTACTCATTTAAATATGTATATATAAATACATATATAATAAAAAATATATCTATATATACATATGAATGTATATATGTATAATATTAATAATAATAATAATATTAATATTAGAATAATACAAGAGTAATAATAGTTATAGTCATATATATATATATATATACATATATGTATATATAATAATAATAATAATAATCATAATAATAATAATAATAAGAATAATAATAATAATAATAAATATAAGAATAATAATATAATAATATATATATATCGACCCATAACCCCGAGACGGGGGGAAGACATGCAACATAATGTAGTGTAGCAATTATAAGAATGTATATAACAATATAATATTATTATTTTGTAATAATGAAAAAGGCTGAAGGCAAAAAGAAGGGTTTATTGTTGTTGTTGGGGGTTATAGGGTCGGTGATAGGGTGGTGGTGGTGATGGTGGTGATGGTGGTGGTATTTTGAGGAAATTGTAAGAATGTGTGGAGTGAGGCATGTGGTACCTCCAGGATCACTGTTTGTGTCTTGTTTGCGCTTCCTCTTCTTAGTTCGGTTGGTATTTGCGCGGGAAGACCAGTCAGGGTACAGCTGCATGTGCAACTGTCTCTCCCGTCGCGCCAACTCATAATACTTGGCCTGTTCCTCTCGCCCTAGCGCGTGCCACTACCGAGAGAGAACCAAACACTTTTGTAATTCTGCAGAACCGATGGCTATAGAGAATATGTAATCAAGAAAAAAAGAATTCACTAATGCTACCGTGCGTGCCGCCACCCTAATTAAACAAACTTTTTCTTTCTTTTTTATATTTTTTTTATATATATATATATACATACATATATACCATAAATATATATATATATATGTATATAAGTATAAACAAATATAAATATATATATGTAATTTTTTTTAACCAGAAGTACATAGATTTTTAATTTTTTGTTTTGTTTAATTTATTATTCATATAATATGTTATAATTATTATGTGTATTATTTTTTTTTTTGTTCATAAGCGAAAAGTACATACATATATATATATTTTTGTTTGTTGTTGTTTATATATATGTATATATGTGGTTTTCTCGTTTAATCTAAACATTATTATTCCTTATTAGCATTTCAGTAACATTGGGGTCCCTACTTTCCGTTTAAAGTGCTAGAAGAACAGCCTAGGTTGTTCCCTCCCCCTCGGTTGCACCGCTATTTCTTGTTATTAAATAATACAAATTTATTTCATGTACCTGGAGCACGCGGGGAGGGTGTCTGATAGAGTAATTAACGTTCTCACCTTCATTCTCTTTCATTGTCTTGTTTTTTTTTTATTTTATTTACATGACACCGAAAAATTAATTCGATTAATTGATCGATTGAACGAACGATTAATCGAATTACAATCTAACAAATAAATCTTCTCTCTCTCTCTCTCTTTCTCTCTACCAGACACAATAATCCCGTATGCCTAAGGCATTCCGGTTTTGTCGCTCTCGCATTTTCGTTAATCGTCATATCATCAAAACGTTAGCAGGTTTTTATTCCGAGAACGAATACCGCTTTAGGGAGTTGGCCAGATAATTAAAAAAGATTGCATTGCATGCCGCGAGAGTCCATTTTTTTTCTCTGCTGCGCCACATTCCACAATCCCCACAGACAATCCAATCCAATTCAGTCGGAAAACGATTAAAAAATGTGTATATATACATATACATACATACATATATATATATATATATATACACATAATATATATATATGTATACGTATATGCGTCCAAACAAATATATACATATATACATATATATATATGTGTACGTATATATATATATATATATTATAATATATCCGAAAGACGACGGTCAATAAATAGTCCGCACGACAGAGTAAATGTCGAGAATATTAAAAAAAAAAAAAAATTCAACAAAAATAATAACCAAAACGAAGTTTCATAAATAATAATAATAATAATAATAATAATAATAATAATAATA